GTAGTTGGCTAACAAAAATATATAATCATCAGACACTTTTGTCCAGTGCTGCTTTGATGTAATAACCACTGTATGCAAGAATGATAGGTATCACAGGTTTGATTTCAAGCAACAGTTAGAAAGATGGCTAGTGTACTTACTTGGAGGAGGTCAGTTGATTCCATCTCTCTGTTTTTCATTTTCACATCTCTGGTGTAGTTTATAAATATAGGAGTGCTCTCCGAGTTTCTGATCACAGATGGTGTACACCATTTTAGACCTGAATCTGAACCTGAAGTTGAAGTGCCACGTCCTGCTAGAAGAGGTGAAGTAGTACAGGAAAGGGTTGAGGCAACAGTTGAAACTCACCAGGGCTAAGGTGACCCGTCGCATTTTGTAGATCAGGTTAGTAAATGACTCGTTCTGGATGACCTGGATTCTCATTAAGAAGTGGAGGAAATGGGTGAGGTGGTATGGGAGAAAGCAGAAAGTACAAATGAGCAAGATGATGTAGATGGTCGTCAGAGCTTTCCTCTTGCGAATGCTGTGTTTGATCTGGGAGATCCTCCTCGCAATGAGAGGGTAGCAGATCAGAATGATGGCAAACGGGATGACAAAACCAAAAACCAAGGCCAGGACGTTGTAAAGGGCCATGCGAGAAATCCAGCTGCTCCTTGCAAAGTTCTCAAAACACATGGTGGTGTTCGTAGGCCCTCCGTTGTGGAGGGGACCACCAAGAATGAGCGCAACCATGATGCTTAGGGCAACCACCCAAAGGAGGGTGGCCACCACCACGTAGTGAGTGACCCTGATCTGGATGTACGTGAAGGGGTGCAGCACTGCAACGTAACGATCGACACAGATGCAGGTGAAAAAGACGATGCTTAGATAGATGTTGATGTAGTACAGAGTCCCAGTTATCCTACAAGCCACGTCACCAAAGATCCAGTTGTTCCGATTCAGGTGGTAATGAATTTTAAAAGGCAACATGCAAACAAACAAGGTGTCTGCCAGAGCTAGGTTTATCATGCAGATGTAGGAAGGAGACGTATGCCTTGCTTTGTTAGACAGGAGGTACAGAGCTGAGACGTTTTCTATCAGTCCCAGCACGAAGACAATGCTGTAAATAACGGTAAACAAGGAATACTGGAAGTCTGCTTCCAACCTGACAGCTGTCCTGTTGGAGACACCTTCAGTCCAGGAAACATTTGCCATGATTTCTGTTGAGGTGTAGGGATATCCAGCAGGATAAAAGTTATAAGCCATTCCTTACCTCATGAGGTTCTTGAGTTTGAAGTGTGATTTCTTCTCACGTGGTTAAGAACTAAAGCTGTGCTTATCAGTGATGTTAGATCTGATGGCACATTTCAGGCAGCTATGCTAGGTGGAAAGTGGTGTTGCTGTAAGAGGATAAATCATTTAAAACATGAGCATTTGGAGGTTACACAACAGCCCAATTATTTGCTGGCGTTTCAACACAAGATAGCAGTACTGAGTTAACAGAAGGGAGCTCTTAAAAGAGGAGTCTGTGTTTGAAATAGGGAGAAAGAGGCACTACACAAGTAGGATGCCCCTCATCTAGGTCACTCACTCACATAAACCTGCTGGAGAAGAGAACACTGCTTACATGAATCTGAGTAACTGATCAAAAAGAGAGACACCTTAACTGAAGAAGTCCTTAAACAGAGTGGAAAAAATGAATCCTCATTTTAATGAAGTGTCTCAAGCAGAGCCATTGAAAGCACGAAAACACAAAGGTTGTTCGGTACTTTCCAAAGGAAATGCTGAAATTGCACTTCCTCCCAATAGTTATTTACCTACTGTAGTCAAAAGCACTGAAGATTACAACTGGAAGTTGTAGGGAACAAAACAGTTTCACTTTAGGTAGGCAAAGGTACGTATCTGCTCACACAAGTCTTTCACCAAACAGCACAGTATTTGCATGTACACAGAGGAAAATTAATTAGAACAGAGCCAGGAACGTGCTAAGCCAGAACGTCAGGCACACTGAACTTGAAACAGCCTTTATCTCAGTTTTGCCACTGAACATCTCTGTTCTACAGTTCAACGTGTTGCAGCTGGGGAAAGATAAGGCAAAAAAAGGTAAAATCACTGAAGGAGCAAAGCAGAGAGGGGAGAGATTAGCTTCTGCTTCTCACAAGCACAATCAAGACATCTCTAGATATTACCAGGCAACAGCTCCAAAACAACAGCATTTTCTTCCAAATAGCACTTGCTTATGTTATGGAGAAAAGCATCCCAAGGTTCTCCAAGAGCTGCACCAAAACGTTCGTGTGCTTCAAGCTCGATCAGACTGCTGACAGACTGCCTAAAACCGATGCCCCTCAGCTCCCTGCAGGATGGCTACATGGCCTTACAAAGGCACAGAAGTTGTCTGCACCATGACACTACACTACTATTGTTAGCTGTAGGCTCACTTGATCCCTTAAATCCCTCCTCATCTGGAGTAGGAGCTCACATTACGTCTTGTGTGCTGAGAGTGGAAACTGGGCAACTCTTGAGGCCTCAGCCAGGCAGTAACAGGTGAAGCTTGTGTAAAAACACTGACTGTACCTTGGTGCAGCCTGTCATGTATTCAAACCCACTGAAGCTGAACTACAGCAAAGGAAGCAACGGGAAAAGAGGGGGAAAAAACCTTAAAAAAAATCAGACATCCAGTATTTCACATGTTGGTCTTTCAGCCATTTCAAAACAGTTAGATATGCTGTGTGTGACACCACCATGTATTGATCTGCTTGAAAATGTTTTCATTCTCAATGAGAGAGGTAATAGAAGTGATGTAGGCTAGGAGTAAATTATTTTCCAGGCATGTAGCCAAATTCATCTCTTATAGTAATGTATGATTTCCTTACCTACCACTTTAAAGCAAGGAGTCTGACCAAATTCCACATCCAGCTTTGCTTCCCCAGAGGTAATTTTCTCCAAGGAGGAGTGGGGAAGGGCAGGGGCTATCCCTATTTACCTTCAAATATTTCCTATGAACAACTGGAAAACACCATTGTACTTCCGTGCAAATTACTTGATTTACAAAACTACAGCAAATCATGCATCAAAGTTTACACCAGACTTTGAATTCATTAAATTAATAGGATTATCTTCATATAAAACCAAGCTTTTTTCTTTGAACCCTAAGTCAAGCATGAGGTTTTTCTGGTTTTGGCTTCAAAGCGTCGCTGTCAAGCACTCTGAACGACAGAACAGGCCTGTGTTGGATGCCCAAACTGCTCCAATTGAAAGGAACTGGTAATGCAACAACAGAAGGAAAAGAACACCAAGCCCCCTCCTGCTGAAAGCTAACACTCAAGTATTAGTGACAAAAAGTACAGTTCTCTCTGCTAAGTGCAGAGCCAGCCACCTCCAGCCCACTGTGGATAGCTGAATTTGGGTTGCTCAGTTAGCAAGCCCATAAGCACAATTGGTTTTTTGACTGTAACCAGAACTTAGGAAACATTTGCAGAAAGCAGGTATTTTTGTACTGCGTTTATTAAAAGCTTGCTGCAATACCTGAGCCTGCAGTAGGAGCTAGCTTGTCTGAGGAGCGTTTCTCTTTGGTTCAGTTTTCTGCCCAATAAAGCTGCATAGTAAATCAATCAGAAAGGTGACTTACCAGACCTCAGGCCATCGCCTCACACAAAAGCTGCCTTCTCAGGGTCTCCACTCACAGCTACAAGGTCACTGCACGCTGTGAACACCAGAACAAGCTGTGCTGATAGACCCACAGCTGAGCTCACCCACACTGCACTGCAGAGAAACCACAGGAAATGAAGAAGAAAGAAAAGCTGTCACTGCCATGCAGGCGCAGCGTTTGCCCCACCAGCAAGACTTTCCCTTACAGGACCAAGGTGAGGATGCAGCCTGTGACCAGCAGCAGTGCGTGCTATGCTTCCCTGCACGTATTTGCAGGCACCCTGCTCCCACACACAGCCACCTTCAGCCTGCTTGTCAGCCACAGGAGAGCACAGCCCACCTCTGTGCCAGTGTTTTAGCCCAACGCTCTCACTTCCCTTCCCTTCAAGGGAAGGAAAAGCAAGACTTAACTGCTGTTCCCTGTCTGAAACATGGGCATGCGTTCAGGTTTGGATCACAAATGGACAAGTGCCACTGCTTGCCCTGAAAGCACAGCATCCATACCTCTAGGTACTTAGGCACCAAGGCCCTACCAGGAGAAACACAAACACATACCATACTGGCACCACAGTGGCTTCAGTTCTCTTCTGTTAAAACTCCTCCAAAGTTCTGTCTTTGGAAATTGGTCCCCAAGCAAGTAAGAGTAAGCAGAAGTTTCCTCCCTCTCCTTCTCATGCTGTCAAATGTTGGTCTCTGGAAGCAGAGTGAGGGGATATGCATCACTTCACACTGGGGAGCACTCAGAGATGGGCTGGCCTGTCCTCTGCAGCACCAACCACTAAGCTCAGTCTCCCTGCTGAGGCCCTTAAGAGAGATCAGGGAGGTGCTGCGTCCCACCTGCACCTTCACCACCCACCCAGTGCATGGAAGCTCCTTAATCCTTCAGGGTTATTAATATTCCTCCTTCATTACCTGCATGCTTTGAATTGCCACGTAACAAAGGACATCCCCTCACCAGATGGGCTACGATGAACTCTCAGCTCTCTAATTCTTCTCCTCCCACAGACAAAGGAGAGACTAATAATGATGGTACCAGGCATTTGAGCTGCACGTGGCTTCCACTACAGGAAAGTGTTTAAATTGGGCGCTGTTTCTTCAGAAGTCACAACTTTCATCCACTTTCCTGTAACTCAGCATTCCAAGAACCGTTTTATAACCCAGTGATTCTGGTGTCATTCATGATTAAAGAAAAAACAATACAGCAACCCACACGCATCACCCAACACATGTGCTGTTGCTTGGGCAAGCAGGCAAGATTGAAACAAAACAAAAACGTGAGAAAACACATCAGGGAAAAAGGAAAATAAAAGCAGTAATCTGAAAGCAGCATCATTCTTACTTTCCCCTTAGCAAACAAACGATGGGAAGATGCCTACAGTCAGTGATGTTTATTGAGACAAGACCACGTATTGCATAAAGAGCTCTGCAAACCTCCATCCCATATCCACAACAACAGTCCTTTCAGACATGGCTGACAGAGCTGCTATTCTCCCGGGGCCGCTGTTTGCAAATCTGAGAGGGGGAAAAAAAAGAAAACATTGATTTAGGGAAAAAAATGGGAAAAAAGTCTGTGGTCTTCATTTCCTGCCTGGGCTCCCTCCCCACTGGCACAGGCAGCTCCACAGCCAGCATGAATAGGAAATGCACCACCAGGGAGAAAGGCCCAAAGCCACAAGCAGCAGCTGCCTCTTCATGGCCAGGCCAAGTGTTATGCTCAAGCTCCCTGTTCCGCTCACTGTTGCTTCCCTTTCCCTTCGGTCTTTAAGCCCCAGTGTGTGCACAGCTGCAGCAGGAGACAGCATTCCCAAAGCCCACTGCAGGAGGTCTGTGCTCTGCCTGGGACGAGGCAGCCTGGAAGAGGCCTGCAGTGTGCTGGGAAGTCCTTTTTATGCACTGGAGTAACTGAGGAGTAAAAGGGAGAAGAAGCATTTGTGGCTGTGGGAAGGATTACTGCTGAAACAAAGCAGGCAGCAAGTGCACAACTGAAAGCTGAGAGCACCTCTCCCTCAGCACTGCAGCAGGAGAAGTGTGGTGTTAGCCCCATGGTGGGCAGCACATTCATCTCAGCAACAAGAGAAGGGACCATGGTTTTAATATTAGCACCTCCTGTAGCATTAAGGGAGCCAGGAAATAACTCCATGCCTCTGCCTTCTGGAGATTCTCAGTGATCTCATCACAAGCAAGTGAACATGTTTATTGCTATAATTTTCATTTTTAGTAAGACAGTAACACAGAGTTTGATTTACAATCAAAGATGTCTTTGCTCTCAACATCGTTTTACCAAATTCTGCCTGCATTAAATTCCTTGCAATATTTAATACCTTCCATCCCTAACAAGAATACCAAACTTTGCCGATATCTTCTGCAAGTTTGCCTTTTTATTCTTATTTTCTAAGCTAAAAATCTTCACTGCTTATGATTTAGATGCTGTTAAATTAAGAAAGCTAATATGTGAGCATGATTTCTCTTTCACTACCTTGCAAGTAAGAAGAAGAAATCTACCAGGAAAAAACTAACACTCATTTTCCATAGCAACTGCTGTAAATGGCACAAAAAGGAGGACTGTGGGGGCTTCTGTTCCTTTCGGTATGAAGCCTGACTCCCACACACATAAAGTCACTGCCTGGCATTCCCTTACCTGCTTCATTATATTCCACTGATTTTAGGAAGAGTCCGGACGATGGAGCCATGGCAAATGGTGGAAGAGCCCTTGCATCCTTCATCTCCAGCAGCTCCTTTATATGATGAGGTGCCAACTTTCCCTGGCCAACTGCAACTAGAGCCCCAACCATTCTTCGGACCTGCAAGGACAGCACACAGCTTAGGAACTGCCCCCTGTAACATGTAAGAGGTTAAGAGTCCTGCACTTCTTTGTATCAGCAGTGTTTTGTGTGGTGGAACAGCCCCTTCCCTCCCTACAACTGTGGGCACTATGAAAATGGAGACCTGTAACACAATGTAACACAACAATCTCCAGTTCCGCTGGCTTGGAGCAGGCTTGTTCTCATCACAGAAGAGAGCTGAGCAGACATGGTTTCTATTTCTGAAGCAGCAGCAGCCACACGCTGCCTGTGGCAGGAAGCTCACTTGCTGCTGGGCGAGCTGGGCTCACACAACCTCAATGCACAAGCAACAATTTCCAGGTGGGGGCTATGTGGGGGCCAAAAGCAAAAGGAGAAAAAGCAACAACGCACCCAAGTGAGAAAGCCCACCAGCTAACTAACTCGTCAAATCGGCATTTTGAACACCTCCGCACCTCACAGCTCCCCTCCCCTCCACACTAAGCAATTCCAAATCTACTGGGTTGGCACAGATTTCACTCCCAGTGCTCACCTACTATCACACCCTCGCACTGCAGCATCCTCCTGGCTGAAAGCCACCCTTCCCTGGGCTGCCCTCAAGCCATGGTGCTCTCACCACATCCTAGTGGCCTTTCCATGCCCACCAAACTGTCCCCCAGTCTCAAGTGCACAAGCAGATCCTTGTGGAGGAGTCATGGCAAGCAGAGATGGGAAACTTAAACCAAGTACAGTGTTTAAAATAACATTTACAAAAGATTAAACCAAAGCCTACTAAACAACCTCATCAAGTTTATCCCCGTTAAAGAGCAAAGATATATTTATCCAAAGGTAGGCACTATTTTCACCTACTTGCTTGGAGCCTAAGCTGCACTACATGGTGCCCAGAGCCTGCTTTGTAGCCATTCTAGTGTCGTGGAGAAGCAGCACAGATCAGTGTATGTTATGTTACGTGTCCCTCGCTAGGGGTCATTGCATGCTGTGACTTCAGCTTTGATGTCTCCACACTTGGAGTTAGCTGGATGGGAGGCATCTGAAACAGCCTCGTGCTCGGTGCCTCCCCGCTGCTCCACGTCCTTCAGGGAGAAGATACACATACAGTTTCTGAGGCTGTTTAACCCTATTCTCTAATAAAAAACATCCAGATGGTGAAACTTAACATAGCAGCCATAAGAGATGAAATCAGAGGTCCATCTAACACAGTAAGGTCTCTGTTACAGAGTGCAAAAGCAGATGCTCAGGTCTGAGAGTGCAGGTTCACCATGTACAGTCTGTTCCTGCTCCCCTGGCTTGCTAGCTAGCTCTGAGGCTGCTGCTGAAAGCCCCACTCACAGAGGGCACCGGGCTCAGCATCACTGTGCAGAGAGAGCTACCAATGTCACTAAGTCACATCCAGACTGAAGCGTTAAATGGGTTACCAGCATTTTCTCCTTGTCACAAGAGCATCTTGTGAAGCAGATCCCTGCTATGTATCAAGCCTTCTCAAGCATGCTATCGTCCTTCCCCTGCTCATATCCAGACACCCACTGTCAGAGAGCTTACGGAGCATTGCTTGGCACAGGATAAAAACAAATCTAGTTTGTCAAAACAGAACAAAAAATAACTGTTCCCACAAAACACCCCCTCTCTCTTCCAAAACAAGCCTTCCCATGCCTATTCTGTCTCCAGAGTGTGACTGTGCCCGGAGTAGGCAGACAGAACAGCCAATTGTTTCCTAATGAGGTGATCCATTAAGTTGTGGAGAGAGCCGTCTCCCTTGAGGACAGCAGCAAAAACCTCACTGGAGTTATTTCAAAGGAAACCCAGCAGCACGACAGCGGGAACGATCCTGCAGTCGTGCCTGCATAGCTGAATCAGGTCTTCCCATCTCTCCTTCATGCAACACTGAGAATTACCTCACGCTCCAAAGCCAGAAAGTAAAATTCCAGGCAGCCTTCACTGGGCCCAGTGCCATTCAGCAGAGCAAGAACATATGTCTCTTGGTTTTCACCAGTCGGACTGCAAGGACAAAGACTGGGGAAAACAAAACTTTCCATCCTCCCACATGATTCTGTGACTTTGGTCATTGATTTCAGACACAAACCAAAGATAGTCTGGTTCTAGTGGATCAAACAGTGAACATGGAGCCTCGCTTGACAGGGTTCTTGTGTGCATCATGAAGCTGTAGCACCAGCTCTGCAACAGAGATGGCACTACAGATGGATGCAACACTGCCAAATCAATCGTGTTACAGTGAGAGTGATATCTGGGTTCTTGGAGACAAAGGGTGCACAGAGCAGAGCAGTACCTGTCGGTAAAGAAACGATCTGCTCTTGAACTTCAGCTCCCAAAACTGCAGTCCCCTACAGAGACAAACAAAAAAAGTGTTTCAGAATCACATCTCAAACGTGAGAACTTCTTACAAGAACAGCAAAAGCCACAGGTGAACACAAGCAGAGTGAACAAGTAGCTGAGATCCATGTCTGTACTAAAGATCACTAATTAGAACCATAAATAGCCAACAATTCTAGATCAAATGCTGCTCTTTACCTTTGTTGGGAACAACTGCACAGGTCGGTTATGGCTACATTGAAATAATTCATACAACTGTAAGGGAGAGAATTAACATGAATGAGAAATAAAGAAACCTCTGTCAGAAAGGGAACAATGCAAGTGTATGAGAAAAGCAGATTTGTTGTCTTAAGAGTGAACAGAGCCACATGAAGCACACAGTGTACAAAGCCAGAGGCAATCATTTATTTACTGCTGGGATGGCACTGGAGTGAGCTGCTGGAAGCAGAGCTGTCTGAGGACAAATGTGCCCCAAGGCAGGCAAGAGGACACCATGGCCCACACCATAATGCCCCAAAGCTTCAATTCCCACAGAGTCTTGCATAAAACAGGGGTGCATCTTTGCTCTGAGGCAGGGTGGCAGGGCAGCTGGCTGTGAAAACACCAATGCTGTGGCAGAGACTGTGTAGGTGAGCTTTGGGTAAATGCTGTTCTACATGGGAAGAAAAGCTCTGACAGAAGCATGGCAACAGATTTGGGCTCTCAGTTGCTTTGCCATTCATTCTGGGCACAAATAACATTTTCTTCACCCAAATTTCAAGCATTTTAAAGGGAAATTTTACAGCAGTATCTGGTGGCTTAGTGCCACCGTTAAGCAGTGCTGGAGCATCAGCCTTCCCCTAAACCTCCCTGTGATAAAAAATAATCAGTTTAAACTAACAGGATTTGGAACAAAAAAAGAGTTATCAGTAAGAACACCTCCAGGACAGCTAAAGGAGATTAAGGAGCAACAATTCAGCTACAAATCTTCTGAAGCCTTCGGATGAAGAAGATGTTGGTAAGCACAAGTTCTGCTTCACCGCTTCAAGGCCCAGCCTGCCAGATGGATCTTCGGGCTGTTGCAAAACACCACCCTGCAGTTAGAGCCCATATGAGGACTGCTGGTTCAACAGCAGGGGCAGATGCTTGCTGAGATGTAAGCTACTTTGAGTCACTGACTGCCTCAAAGCCAACAAGCTGCTCTTTTAGAAGTGCAAACTGCAGAGAGAACACAGAGAATTTGCCTTTTTCCTGGGCACCACTGAAGTGCTCCAAACACCACCTCCGTTTAGGCAGAGGACATGCCTGCTGTGCTAAAGGAAAGCAAAGACTTGAAATACCTGCAGCCTGTCTGACCTGATCGGAGGAGGTAGCTCCAAGGAGGAGGTACAAACTGCAAGATTCCTTACGAGACAAAATAGCCCTTAATGGCAGCATTATTTTTTAACAGCAGAGGTTTCAGTGCTTAAGAATGGTCTTTCTCTAGACATTTTTAAGAAGGAAGTGAAATAAAAACACTTAGAGTGGCTGAGAATGCTACCACAAAGCCAGGTCAGCTCCCAGAGCTCAAACACCAGTCTCTGTTCTGGTCAGGAGATGGTTTTACTTAGCAAACAGAAAGCAAGGTGACAGCTGCACTGACATCCATGCGCTCTGCTGCTCTCCAGGAGGAGAGGATGGAACGACCCAAAAGGAAAGAGATGAAGGCATGGTGAGGGAAGGATGGCAGAGGGCCTTCTGATGAGTGCTGGGTAAATCTGACTGGTGTCAGGGGCAAAACGGGCACTCAAAGTTCTGGTAAGTTGGCAAATTCCAACCTGAAAACCCATTTCTCCTTTTCTTTGCAACAAACTCTCCTCTGCCAGATGTTTTCCCCAGAACAACAGTTGGTAGAATTCCAGGAAAGATCAAATCCTGATGCGGACAGCAGAGCAGCAAACGTTTAAAAACCTGCTGCCAAAGTGGAGCTCTGCAATGTCAGCACTGCATCTCACCCAAGAGAAGCGCTTACGTCGTGTCAGGCTGAAGTGAATGATTCGCCCTCAACAGCATTTCTGCCATCCCATAAATCATTCTGGACGTGACTGAACATTTCTAGCTCTGATAAAAGCTTTTCACTTGTCAAATCACAAACAACACTTATACAAGCTCTAATTCCACCATGTGCACAGCCTAGCAAAGACTGTCCCTCAGCCTTTTCCCATAGCACTTATTCAGACCAAAACCTTTGCACATTGAGAACAGCATCCTTCAAGGAGAGAAGAGGAGAGCACTGAGGCACAGGAAGGTGCTCAGCACTGCTATGAGCATCTCTCCACCCTGCAGCTCTTCTAGCAGCAGACACATGGAGGGCTGCAAAAGCAAAGTCTGCAGGATGTGTAATTCAGTGCCAGGATGGGGAGCAAGCATGGAACAACAGGGGTTGTGGGGAGTGCTTTGGGGGATGTTACATTAAGGGTTCATAGTGAGAAAAGATTGAATTTTGTGCGTTGTTTGGATGAAGGCAACAAGGAGAAGAGAATTCAAAACCATTAGGATTGAGACTGAGCAGTGGGTATCTTGTGGCAGGGGGAAATAGTGCAGACAAAACAAGGCTCTTGTAACCAACTGCAGCAACATCCATCATTCCACATCAGGGATGCTTGCAAAAAGGCTGCATTGATTGCCTCTGATCTGCATTTCACAACAGGTCGGTCTCCTTTTCCACCTCTCTCCCCACACTGCCCCTTCCTTCACCACTGCCCACAGCAGGCTCAGGAACTCAAATCCAGACAGGAAAAATAGACTTTTGAAGAAGCCAGCTGCCTTGCAAAGAATTCAGAATGTAAACCACCCCACAGCCTGCTCTGGGCAGCAGTTCTGGGGTAGCTGGAGGCTAAGAGTAAGCAGAGCAGGAAGAAGCACAGCAATATTTGGGGACGGATGGATAGATACCACTGCATGAAAACACATCTTTTTCCCCTCTCCAGATCTGTTGATACAGCTGTCATTATTCAGAAAGTTTTATGGTGATAAGCAGCGTTCCCTACAAGGACAAGACTGTCAAACAGTACTAAAAATCTATAGATGCCCACACACAAAACCTCTTTTCCTTTCTCTTGCCATGAGCCCAGTCGTGTGGAGCTCTGAAGACTTGAATCAGCGGTGGGAAAAGCACAGCTGCAACATATTTGGGGGAATCAGGACAGGCTGGGTTTGCTGGAAGCACCTGAGCATAAAGGGGGGGGCCTAGAAGACAGCTCTTGTAAGTGGTAGAAAAAGATGAAGCAGGGACAACGTGATTCACAGCCTGCATGGGGCGTCAGGGCAGGGTGAGCAGGAAGAGAGACGGTGAAATTATCGCCCCGGGGAGCAGCTGCAAGCTGTTTTCTCACAGGATTCACAGATAAGTTACTGCTTTTAGTCCTCCCTGTTGTGAATGTTGGTAAATGCAAAGGCAGCTCCTGCCCCCAGATTCCTCTTTGTGTCAAGCAATGACACTCCTTCCATCACTTACTTCCATCACTTCCATCACCAGGTTTGCTCTCCCTGCAGCAAGGAGGATGTGGCACATAGACATGTGCAGCGCTGGGCACGTGCATGAATACCCACCACATTACAGCCAGGAGTCTGCTCAGCTCTTCAGCAATGGTAAGAGATGGTTTGCATGTGTTATCTCTAGCCAGGGTCCTCCTGCCTTGGGTGTCTCAAGCAGATGCACTAAGCTACAAAAGATAGCTTGAGATACTTCAGGAAAATATCTTGTAGAGAACAAAATATCTTTCTTAGAGTGGGAAACTTTCTTTTTCTTGTCAATCTCACAAGGAATTCTGCTTACCAGCACAAACTCTGTCTTTTCCACTTAGCAGCAGCAGGCAGCACCTTGCAATGAATAATACATATTCAGCTAGAAAACAGGTGACAGAGCAATCACTCCCTGGGAATGGGGCTGAGGCTCTAAGCACATCCTTGGCATTAAAAAGCATTTCGGATGGATAGGACACTAACTCCACTTCCAGTGTTGCTGAGCAACACTGGAGTTTGATGGAAGGAATCATTTCAAAAGACAAGCAGTCAATTCAGAAGATTGGTTTAAGTTCAGAAAGGAAGGGAAGAACGCGAATGAAAAGCTGCATTATTTCACTAAGAAACCTTGGTTTATCATTCTGCAGATTCCTCCCTCTGAAGCAGAAAATAAAGCTCCTTAGACTTATTACAAGCTTATAAATAGATTATTTTTTTTTTCTTGCTATCACAGCCCTTTCATTGCAGGACAGTTAATCCTGCCACTGCAGGGAAGAAACACACATGCATTTCAGGCACTTGCTGTCTTATTTGCAGTATGGGCAAAAGCAAACACCAAGCTCCATGACTGCAGCTGTCCCCATAGGGTGTATTGCAGATTAGAACTAGGACACTGCAACAAACCAAAATCAGCCAAAGAAAAACACCCCCTCAGCCTGTCACAAACACATTCACTCCAGGACTTTATTTTTCTTTAGATCAGAAAGCTCATGGTTTCAGTTAAGGCTTTAGTAACTAAAGAAGGACTGTAGGAGAGTTAGGTGCTGTTTAAATGCATCAAAACAAGGCTTCTCAATGCCACCCCCTTCAACCTAGATGTTCTGGAAATCAATCAATATTGGCACATTAAAAAAATGACTTGTTACAAAACACAACTTGGGGCTGCATGCGTCACCAAGCAAAAACATGCTATCAGCAACAAGCTTGATGCCTTTCATCCCATTTCTCGGTTTGCTCTCTCCTGTGAGCTGTTTTTGGCCTTGTGTGGGATGGGTTTATGCAGCAAGTTATGCAAGGAATGGTAAATTCCTTTTTTTTCTTAAATAAAATTAAGGATAGAAAAAAGCTGATCTGTATCGAATCTCTGTGGGACAATCAAGCACAGTAGGTCTGGATTTTGAAGATAACGTGACCTGCAGGCACTCACAGGTGATCTTGATGAGACTGTTAATGCTTATTTTCAGGCCTGCTCAGTGGCAAGGCACTGAACTTACTTGTGTGGTGGTCAAACTCTCCAACCAGCAGTGGCAGCCCAACAACAGACAGCAGGAATGCAGCCAGGTAACAGCACCCAGCTTCCCTTCCAGCCCTCCTTTTCCAATGCAGGCAGTGTTTCAGCTGCAAATAAGCAGGAAGGAAGCGACCCATCTGGCACTCACGGCCCATGTCCTTGTACTTGCACAGCACAGAGCTTCAGTGAATATGCCATACCCAACTAGGTGGCTTTTTGTGATGCAGCTGTGTATTCACAGCACCAATACTGTGCAAAGAAACCATGGATCACACAAAATGCCTTTTTCCTCCTGACCCTGAATAGGGAGACTGAGAGGAACTGAAAGACCAGGGCTACTCAGAGCATACAGATCTCTCTCTGTTTTTGCAGTTCCCTTCTGGCTTTTATCCTACACTATTGCTGGCAAAACACACCATCCTAGGACAAGGGGGGAAAAGAAAGAGCAGGCTATTTGTAAACTGCAACGAGGCTCAGCTGAAGCTTGAAGCATGGCCCTTACTGTTGCAGACTGCTCAGTAAATATTCAAACCTAATGGAGGACTGCTGGAGGAAACTACAAAGAAAAAGGTTTTCTATTATTTGGAAACAAGGAAAACGTGGTTTGGGGACAGACAATAGCAATGTCTGCTTTCAAGCTGGAACACAACAGCCATGTTTCTCTGAAAGAATCCAGCATGAGAGCAGGGGCCATGTTCAGATGGTAAATACATGTGATCTTTCTGAGGGGGAAAAAAAACCCCCTTCAGTTTCTGCTAAAGAGAGACAATGCATCCAGCCACTTCATTTCAATACTTGCAAGATCTGGCCCTGAAAGAACCTGACACACAGCAATCTTTTGTTTATGTCTTAACTGAGGAATATTGAATTTTCTTTCATCAGCATCCCCCAGGAAGGCAGCAGGAGTTACTGGTGTGAACTGAGAGGATATGTGTAGTACAGCAGTGCCCTAGGTGTTGGGTGAGTTATTTTTTCTCCTATTTGCAGCCTCCAGGCAAAGCTAAGACAGAGGCAGGGCCGAAAATAAAAATCCCATCCCCTGGCAGTGCTGATCTTCAGCATCACACAGGAACTGCTGTGCCAGGTTTCTGACATCCTGCTTTACTGCACTGACAACTGGGCCAGCTTCTCGCCCTCAGCCTTGCTCATCTTTCTCCCTGAGGTCATTGGGAGAAGGAAAGAAATATCCTTCCCAAATTGTCACTGGGCAGAACCCTGCTGAGACTGTGAAGGCAATGCAGTGAGAGGAGGTCAGTTCTCAGCACAGCCCTGGAAAGCAGCTTTTCTGACAAAGCAAGCAGTAGCTGATCAGGGCAGCTCCTCAGCTGAGTATCCAGGCTCTCACCTGTATTCATAGTGGTGGGATAGGAAACCAGAAGAGGGTTGGATGTCTGCCTGTAGGATGGTTTTGACTGGAGACCGAAATGGGGTTTCAGAGTTCAGTGAACGAAAAGTGCTGAAGTCGTGTGTTCCCAGCAGGAACTGTGCTGCATCCTGCATGGCAGGCACGTCGAGGTAGCTGAAAAGGAAAGGAGCATTAGGAGGGACTGAATGTGTTATGTGGGTCAAATTCCAATTAACTGATGAGAGGCCTAATCTGAGCATGCAGACTGAACGTGGCAGCATTGTGGACGGTGGAGTTTTTCCTGCAGGAGCACAAACCAAGATGCCAAATGACCTGAGGTCTGAAGGTGCTCAAAGCCCCAGGCCAGGTGAGGGGTTGGCAGGCACACATTTTTTCACAAAGCTTTATCCTGCTGTTCTGCTTAATATGGTTGAATTCACAATAGCTTTATGGCTAGAGTGGAGGAAAAGAGGAACAAAATCCTTTGCAGTACCTTGTAAACTCAAAAAGGTGTTGCCAGGTAAGAAAATATCTAACATCATGATGGCTTTCCAAGCTTGTTTTTTGTATAATGTGAAAAACTCCAGTGTTCTTGAATGTGTAGTGTATTTATCTCAGCACAACCTTGTCTAAAGGGCAGTAACTAATTTTCTTCTGGGGTCTGTTTTTTATTTTCTTGCCCGCTGTTAATCATGTCTTAAGTGTTTTTAAGAATACATGTGAATGCAGATACACCAATTAGTTACTGTAGGGTTGCTCAGTCATTGGCTCTCACTTATTATTCAAACATAAAAGCATTCAGTCAGGGAATGAGAGCAAAGATTTCATGCAGCCGTCACCAGAAACAGGATGAGAAAAAGAAAAGAATTGCCAGCCTTCATTGTTGACTGCCTTCTTTGTATGGTCACACCTGAAGCTGTGACATCTGCCACGTGATGCATTTCTGCCTGCATTGTTGAGAGCGTTGTCCCTTCAGCCAGCTGTCAGAACGGGTTTGCTGTATGAATTGGCAAGGTTATCTGAGGAAACTGCTTCCATGCAGGGCACACAGAGTTGTTCATGGATGTGGCCCAGAGCCATTGAGTACTTCAGCATGTTAACAACATCTACAGCTGACTGTACAATTAAGAAGAACTGTCTCAGGCCTCACTGAATGTAACTCAGTGCAGCTCCATCGTTCAATATCTCCAATATGATGTGGGAATCTGGTTTCACGTGTGGAAATTACCCCTCTGCACCTCTTCCAAGCACCAAGTCCTTGCAGAGCTGCCCAGAGGCGTATGAAAGACACTCACCCTCCAGTGGGAGCCCAGCACAGGTCCCTCTCAAACACTGGTATTTCAGAATGGTGGGTGCAGCCCATCAGCAGCCGATAAATGTAGGTTCTTGACAGCGCAGAGAAACGTGCATGGAAACTCTTGGTCACTCGATAGGCACTCAAGATGCTGTTATGACAGAAGAGAGTGAGAGAGACAGGAATGCCATGAACTAGTTCAAAAACTTGTGCTGGTCTCCATACAGGTGGAATGAAAACATGCAATGGATTCTTTACTCATGCTGTGTTCTAAACCCACACACTTCCTAGCAATCTCACTGTTGGAACTCTCAGCACCCTGACCCAACCTTCCAGCCAATGATCAACTTTGGCTGCCATCGGTTTTCTCTTCAGCTGTATGCTGTGTTCTGGTTCCTGCTCTCAGGGATGGCACCATTAAGGAGCCTGCATTATTCCCACAGGCAGCTGGGTGCAAAGGCACACGTGCACGTACATGTTTGAAATATTCATGTGCATGTACAAATGTGAATCACTTGAGGGAAAGTTTTGCAAAAGCAAACAAGCAAGACAATGTTTGAGGTTTCCTGAGATCCTCAGGATGAAATGTATCTCACATATGGAGAATATTATGCTCTGCTAGCTCATGACCCACTTTCCAGTGGCTGCTGCAAATGTCAAATGTGTTTTTCACAAAAACTCTTACCAGTTCTTTTGTGGTATCCCTATTATGCTAGGAAAATGGAGAAAATAGCCATTATTCCTCCTTTTACCAAAGCAGCTGTAGAAATTCCCTTTGGATTTTTTCATCCGCTACCTTCTTTAGCAGGAAAACCAAAAGGAGAGGGCTGGTCTCCTTTGAGCCCTGTAAGAAAAATTTTCCTTTCCAGTGCCTCTTACCCAGACATGCTGATGGCCAAGGTAACATTTTTTCAGAGATCTAACTGAATACACAGCCATAAAGGGACTTTCTCCATGGAATTTGACAGGCACACAAATACTCTGTCCCTCCTCTAGGCTCGCCAACAAGAAACTAGCTATTGCAGCATCATTCCCAAGTTGATGAGCTCTTCCAGACTATTCTCTTGGCTCACAACTGCCCTCATGCAGCTGTGAAACACTGACTCAAAGGACAGAGTGTGTTTGTGCTTGCCTTCAAAGGCATGCTGGCCGTACCCAGAGCCCTCAAGTCCACAGGACAGCATCAACTGAGGTGGAAGAGATGCAATGTGGATGATAAAACCAGATGTCCCAACCACAACAACCATCAAGAAGGACTTTCAGTGCACTATTTTCATGGTGATTTTTTTTTTTCTTCAGCTTTTGTGTCACCTATATTAAGCAACAGAAAACAGCCACCTTCCTGTTTTGCTGGTCAGACTCGTCACAAAGGCAGATCTGTGGCTCCACTTTTTCTGGTAATTGATCCAGTTCTAATAGATAAACTGGTAAGAAGAGGGAAGAAACCCAGCAGATTTAATGAGCCTGTAAGAGAGGTCTCATAGCCTGGGCCACCTTATTTTTCCTGATACTCATGAAGCACTTTCTTGAACAAGCATCCACCTGCAAATACTAGAATACAATCAGACACTCTAAGGCTTCCTATCTGTTTCACCTTAGCCTTGCTGCATCCACAAGAAGGGCTGCTGTCACTCTCTGTGTGTAGACAGACAGGACTTTGCACTGAAAACCACACAAGAATAAGCCCAAGCCCTGTTGCAGAGCCATGGCCCCAGATAAGAGCATGAAGGACCTCCCCATGACAGATACCTGCATACCCAACGCAGCACTCTGTGCTCACTCCTAAAGGCAGCCACGCAGTTCATTGTAGCAGATGGAAATAGTGGAAAGTAGGTCACTTCCCTACCACCTCCCCCCACAACCTCCAAGATTTTGCCACGGCAATGAAAATAAAGGAGCATCCCACCTAGACTGCTTCTGTCTGGATACAGCAGGACAGGTATCCCCCCATTTCACACATGCAGATGATGGCTGTAGGGAATGGCTATGCCCACTCATTTTGCATTGGCACTGGGCAGTTATCTCAAGAAGCAGCTTGCAAGGCTGCTGAAGGCTCCTACTGCCTTCTACAAAAGCAACTGGGAAGAAATGCCTGGTGTCCCTAAGTGAGGGATGGCTTAGTAGACAGGAGGTTGCAAAGGTTGGCAGAGGGGAAACAAACTTCTCTCAGGCAAGGGAGAAAGCAGAGCTTTCCTGTATTTCTGCACATCCCCAGAGCACTACAGCTGATTTGAAGGTGGCAGTTTTTGCTGGATTTTATTTTCCCATAGCCCAGAGTTGTGGTTTGTCATCATCCTGCTGGGAGCATCCAGCAAAGAGGTGCTGTCTCAGAGGTATTCTCTCGCTGCAGACACTGCTTTAGAGGATGCCTCTCATCAGAAAGTCGTTTTCCTTCTGTCATGTGCCCCTCTGGTTTTGGAGCTTTGTAAATGGAGGAGAAAGGATGCAAAGCAGCCAAAAAATTTGATACCGTTTGGGACCGAATAATAGAGAAAGCTATTTATTTACTTTTAAAATGTTGGTGCTGCAGGGAGTTTTGTCAGCCTAAGTGCCTCTGGCTCACACCTCTTCACTGCAAAGGCTCAGACCACAGAAGAAATCAAAGCTGAGCCACAGCCTCTGCAAAGATTTGCAATAACAAGCCAGAAGGCTGCTTCACTGCTATAAACTCCCATCAGAAATGCAAACTACATCCTCCAGGCCTGCAATGGAGTTTGAACCCAGGACCTCCAGTGTCTTCTAAACACAGTAATATAATTAAGTATTCCATTTATTTTCCTCTGTCTACACATCTCCACAAGCATTTCATCTCCCTTGAGCTTCTCCTGTTAACACTTAAGTGATTTTTATTAAATAACCATTCCTATTATAAACTCCCATAGAACAATTCTTTCAGAAAAGCCCATTCATACTCAGATGATTCTTCACTGCAGACAGCCTTTCTTGCCTCTTCTGGTAGATGCAATTGCTATCTTGGGCTCTTTCTAGCTGGGAGTCTCTTATTCCACCAGTTCTTCAAACACACTACATTTCAAGCCTTGTTAATGTCTCCTTTTTTACAAGGCTGCTGGTAAATAAAGACTGAGAGCATTCTTCAGCTTTTTGGCAGTGTAACCTTCACCAAATTGGTGGAAACCAATTAGCAGGAGGTCGGATGAATCCCAGATCTGCCTTGTTGCCACCCAGACATGGAGCACTTACCAAACTGGAACCAGAAATAGAAGGCAAGAATCTACTTTACCACTCTATCCCTACTTACATGATAGCAATGTCCTCCTCAAGTTACCCATCTGCAGATTACACTCTGATCTTTGCAGACGAGATCCTTTCAAAAATGCTTTGCAAATGTAAAAGACAGATCATTTCCTAGAAGAGACCCATCATGCAGCAAAGCTACAAAGAAGACCATTATTGCTAATGATACAGCCAGCCAGTTTGGAATCTGGTCTCCTTTTCAAGCTCTATCAACAACGAGTTCTCACAAAGATATCTCTCTCCATCACCCCCTGCTTGCAACCACATGAAAGTGCTGGGTTTTCTATCCAGCATTAGGAGAGAATTCTTGGCAAAGTAATATTTAGAGAGGGAGGGGTTGGCTGCTGATCCATTTAGACTCATGCCTGTCACCAAGCTCCTTAATGGAAAGCAGCTGAGCCCTTTTGCAAAGGGTTCAGATTAAGGGAAGAGGGAGAAGTAGAGCTGACTGCATCCTGGTAAACTCAGAGTGTCTAATGATGAGGACTGTGGTCAGGCACGCAGCTAAGGCCAGTGAGCACCCCCAACAGCACAGGGCACAGCTTCAGCCAACTCACAGTCTCTCTTCACTTCACACAGCATCTGGGACCTGCACAAAGAACCTCCTGGGAGAAAAAGTAACGCCACCATTCAGATCTCCCTGCTCAGCCACTAAACTGTTTGGGTTCCTGCAGGTCTAGAGCTGGGTTCACTGTTCCCCAGGCCATGGAGAATTGGAGTCCTCCCTTGCAAAATGAAGGGCAGATTCAGGCATGATGTCAGCCCTCAAATCCCAGGCCTTGCTGCGTCGGCATTTGGGTCAGGCCCTGTTTCACAAAGAGGAGATTAGAAAATAAAGCAGACTGGGTGAAGTGGGAAGGGGGAGGGTGCTGCATAGTCAGGCTGCTATTCTTACAAAAATCCCTTCATTGGGTGGGGAGGGATTTGCTTTTTTGTCCTGGGTTCTTCCTCTGGCATGGGGAATTTGCCTCCATAATCTTCCTTTACGCTCGTGCCACCAGACTGCAGTAACATGAAAGAGAGCAATTGGGTCCCCTGAATAATCACCAATTGGCCTCTTGCATCCAACTTCTGTTGCTCATCCCAACACCTCCTACAAATCAGCCATCTTCTTGTACAACACACTGAGGTGCCCTGGCACACTGCTTGTTAGGCTGCTGCCCAGAGAGCCACGTCTGAGTGCAACAGATGCTGCACAGACACGGACAGTCTGCGCCTTCAACTGCTTTTAGTTCATACAAAGACAAAGTAACACGAGAAAGAGTAGAGAGCAGCTCTCTCTAGTCATTCACATGACTACATTTACAACTGTACAGGACAAAAAGGACTGTTTATCAACCACACTGAGCAAAATCAATCCGATTTTGTGACAGCAAGATTGAACTGGAGCTCTTGATGCCACTTCTCTGAATCACAACATGAGGTAGCCTTGGTGTAGCTGGGAAGGGAAGAGTGGACTCTGCTAACACTAGCAGCCATTTTATTTCATGGGTGAAGAGGGGAGAGCGTTGCTACATCTCTCCCCTTTTTCAAACAAGAAGAAAAGAAAGGATTTTGACTTGCCACCAACTCACCGGATTGGCTCGGGCTTCAAGTGGTGATTCAGACAACCAACTAGCATTCTCTCTTGAAAAGCTGGCTTCCCTGGTGCCCTCTGGATGTCAAAGTGAGCAGAGTTGCAGAGCGCGTGGACACCGCTGTCGGTCCGGCTGGAGATGTGGAACTTGATGGGAACAACGGGTTTTAGGTTCTGTGCTGCCTTCTGCAATCCAACATGAGACAGAACCATGAACAGGAAACTCAGAGCTCTCTAGGAAACAGTGCCCTCCTCCTTGCTCAATACATCGTGCCTCCTTGCTGTTTCCAGAGAAGTAATAGGGAGTTTTACTGTGAGCTGAAGAGATGGATGGAGGTGGGCTGTTGACTTCTGCTAGTACTATTTGGCTTCTCACCTTCTGTCCCAGAATCATTTTAAAGGGAACATCCAATGTGCCACGTCAGCTTAAAACATACATATGAAACATACATAAGATATATAAAACGTATATAAAACAAAGCGAAAAATATTTGCCTCCCTGTCCTTTGCTTTACTGGGCAGAAGTAAAGAGAACAGAGAATCCCTAATTTAAATCCAGACACAACCCCTGCATCTGACCGCCAAGAACTGCATTCAAGCTGCATCAGAAGCAGGTAACAGCAGCACAGTGCATGCTCTTAGCTCCAGAACTCAGACAGAAACAGCACACAGGGATGTCAGAGTGACTTTACAGCTACGAGGCCTGATGGAGCTCAGGCTGCAGCCTTTTGTTCCATTGCAGGCCAACATGATGTCAAATACAGCAGCTTATTGCTGCTGGCAGAATTTTTTTCCCATCCACAACAGGAGCAGGGCTACAGAGGGCAACGTGCTTCCATCAGTTGCTCAGAACAGAGGAGGAGTCGGGGGACCAGATGAGAAGTAGCACAGCACTGATGTAATGCATCCATTGGTCCCACTGAGAAACAGCTCAGAGAACCAAGGCACAGCTCTAATAAGACACAGCATTGGAGGAGCTGATGCTGAGCCATCCCAGCAGGTGTAAATAATCACAGGAGGGAGAGGGATGTTAACAGAGATAATTAGATGCTACATATATAAGGGTCTCAGATCAGTCCACATTTAGCAAAGCTAGGATGAACTCTGGTAAGGGGCAAAGGCAAACTCTGCTTGGGGTTCTAGTAACTTACTAAAGCAATGTTAAAACCACAGTAGGTCTTCTGTACAGTAGGGTTTAGAAGTAGGTTACTGCACCTGCAACATACAGTTTTAGTCTTTGTGAGGACAGGCCCTCAATGTGATTTTTTATGGTGTATGAATGAAGTATATCTGAATAACTGAAGGAGAAAAAAAAAGCAGGAAACCAGCTGAATGACTGGAAATTTCCTTCTCTCTCTCTCTTATCTTCCCTCCCGAGTGGCGAACCCAGTAGTGGTCTTTATTACATTTCAATCTGGTACCAAGAGTCAATAAAGCTTGAATTGCTGACTCACAAATGCCTTCCAGATTCCTACAACTTGAGCAGACAGGATTCTGGGCTCTCAGAAGCATATCATTATAAAGCACAGAAAGGCAAGAAAAAATGTAACTGAGCTGCAGGGGAAGGCTTAGGAAACAGAACAGAAATGACCCTAGACTTCTCCCCTTCCTAATCCTTCTATTTGGACTTCACATATGGTTACAATTAACAACAAAAATCTTTATTTATCACCCTTAAGCAGAGAGAAGCAGACAGAAATTAAGTTAAGTTTTATGCAGCAGACCATGTCTCGTGCCTCGACACTTCGTCTTTAAGCAGAAGCCGTGTTTTAAGAGAAAAAAATCTGCAAATATATATTTGTATTTTGCAGCCTCCTCTCTTTCTCCAGCCTTTTGCCAGGCACAAATCAGCCAGTGTGAGCACAGCTGAGTGGAACAGAGGGAGAGAGGGCAGGAGAGAACATCGTCCTTTCTTGCTATGGAGAAGTTTGGATACTGCACTCCTGCGGATCCCCACACTGCATTCTATTTCACACCCCACCTCTGAACAAAGCTGGAGAATAGGAACACTGAAAAGTTGGGGTTTCTTGTCTGCCAAAAGGGTTAAGCTGTTTTGGAGAGCAGACTGGAGAGGAACAGAGGGTCGAAGGCTCCAAGGCAAACCTGATTGCTTCCCTGCTCAAGCCACTGAATCCACAGAAGTAAAGGAGCGAATGACAGGTCCACCAAAGCTGTATTTTCACAGCTGCCTTTCTGCAGCACGCTTACCTCCCAGGCACAGCTCTCTGGAGAGATATTTGTGCTGGGTATGCAAGGAGAAATGTAATCACCATCAACAACAAACCTCAGCCTGTGAATGCTGAAAGCTTCATCTGGGGGCTCTCCCCCCCAGCCCAGCAGGCATGCAGCTGATAAGAGTCCACTACCAACTGCTGCCTCCATTTAAATATTTAAATTAAATATTCCATTTAAAGCCTACCCTAATTAATCTCCTTGCAGAGAGAATTTCTGAACTGCTGAACTTCTTCACGGGCAATTCACTAATGACCCCTTCACCTATGCATATGTCCCATCTCTGCACCATCCAGATGGCCTTTGAGCCTATAGACATCTGTTACCTTCCTCCACTGGTTCCTGTATGCTCTAAGCCATTAATACAACCCACGCTGATCTGCAAAAAAGATGCATTATTTACATCTAGTAATTGCTTGAATGGCAACCTGCCCTTTCAGAGGAAGGAAGGGAAAAAAAAGAGCCCCTACAAGAAGCAGGCCTTTCATCCAAGGAGCTCCCAAGGCTTTACTGCTGTTAATTCTGACCCTTACACTGTTGGCTGTCATCTATGGATTCCAATGGGGGACAACTGGGACAGTTAGTTAAGCAATTTACCCATGGGTGCTCAGCTAAAAGGAGGAGATAAAGGAATCCAGGAGCTGTGTTCTCTTATGTCCTCAAAGTTCACAGGTCTCTGCTTCCTTCTTTAGGCCACACAGCATGCCAGCATTCTGCTTGGCAGGTTACAAACACCGGATCCTTGACTCAACACGTGCTGGAGGTGCCTCACTGAGACAGATCTCACTCATTTTCATGATGTCTTTACTTCTAGAGTCACAGTTGTTCCAGACATTCATATTTTTGGAGCAGCAACCAGAATCCCTGGGTGTTTCTCTATGCTTCTAATACTCTCCCTACCAGTAAAGCAGAGGAAAGCATTACTTGCATTTAGTAGGTCTGTGCTGCTAACAGGTTTTGTTCACTAAACACTTCCATATTTTGAATCCCACTGAAATTTCCACTGTTGTGTGCCAGAGCGATATGAATCCACACTCCAGGTTTCTCTTATTACTCACAGCCCTGTTCTCTTTTCCCTCTGTACAAATGTTGGAGAGGCAAGATGAAGAACAGGCCTGTCAGTGCACACCGGCTATGTCTGGGAAGCAAAAATTCATCCACGTATCTCCCTGAAGTCTAAATAAAAAATGCTCAAGATGCTCAGCCACAAAAGACCCCTGCAGAGCAGCTGGGAGCTACAGAAGGAACCTGTCAAGTCAATTGTAGATGGTTAGGTTCAAGAGAGAAATGTGCAGTAGGAGTTATTTTGGAAAGGTGTCTATTGCTCTTCCACAGCAGCTGGATTGCTTATTGGTGCTGTCATTGGAAGACACCTCCAATGGCATCAGATGCACAGACACAAGGGTTTGCATTGCACTGCTGGGGATGGTGCACAATTTGCAAAGTGCTGTGTTCTAATAAATAATAATGCAGGAGCTTCTGGTTGCAACCTTGCTGACTCAGTGGGCATTATGTCAACTGAAACTAATTAAGAATCTAACTCCTTCCCAGAGAAAGAGAGAAAAGCCGTAGAGAAAACAAGGAAGAAAAAGATGAGAAAGCAGCTTCTGCTGGAAAAGAGGGTTTCTAAAGCAACCTCCCAGGCTGCTAGAATGATTATCCAAACAGGTGATGAAGTTAACAGTTCTCTGGGTCAATTTTCCCTTTGTTCCTTGTATGGGGACTGTTGAGTCATGGCCTGAATCACTGATAGAGCACCTGAAGAAAGGACCGGGTCAGCCCTTGGAGCATAGGTGAAGGCAATTCAACGGTGTGATCAGAAGGGTTGGAGCCTGGCTGCACCTCACCTAAGCTTCATTTAAGGGCTGACTGCCATAGGGGAAGGATCTCTGGTTGGAGATCCTTCCCTTGTGGAGTTTTCCCTGCAGGCCTAGGTCTTCATAGATGGGTGAGTCCTTTTCTTTTGTAATACCATTCCATTCATGTCAGTTCCTTTGCTATTGTGCTCCTGTATCGCTCTTCCGCTGCATTAATCTTTCTGATTGTAGCATTACTGTTTTGTTGTTTTTTTCCTGGAGGAAAGAAGCTGTACCAAAGCTGTTTTGCGTAGCACAGAGTTTGTCTGCCTTCTCCTTCTCCCTCTTCTTCTTTCATGAGGAATAATACCCGGACTTAGCACAGAGCTACAGAGCTTCATGCAGGAAGATTAGTTTTAGACAGAGTTACCTAGCACAGTGGGAAACAACACGCTTAGGAGGTGGTTCAAACCAAATATGAAAGGGATCTTAATTCTGTAGATCCTACCAGGCCTTGCATTTGGTGCCTGGTAGCACAAATAAGAGCTATTTACTTCAGCAAAAGGTGCTACACGGGATTCTCATTTTCAGGAGGGACATTTGTAAGAATTCAGACCAGAGTGCAGAGTCCTACAGCACATACAAGCTTCTCCTCGTTGGAAGGAGCCAAGTCAGCAGTTTCAAACATCCCGATTTGGGAAAGCAAGGTCTGGAATTCTGGCTTGGACTCATCACTAGCAAGCTGGGCTTCCAAGTATTTCAAGACAAATAGATTGTCTCCAAGAAGGAAAAGTTTTGTCTGCAAAGCTCATCCCCATCAAATACAAATTAAAAAGCTCCTTCAAATACCTGCATTTGTCACTGAGATAACACAAGTTTCTATTTCTTCCGTGCAGTTCCAAGACTCGGCTATATAGAGAACTGAGGACTACAGAACCATTTGTGTTCTCTATGATAGATGTGGTGACAAACGGCTGCAGCCAGGCTTCCTGCTCAGCTACAGCTCTACCCTCTCACCTAGAGAGCTGCATGTCCTGCTCCCAAAGCAGCTCATTACACTGCTAAGGCCACTAGCTGTTGATACATGAAGTCTACACTTCACAGGTTATTTGCTTGCCTGTAACTGCAAACAAAACAGATGTCTGAACATAGGAAGAACGGAACAAGGATCTCATTACAGATTTAATCTTGCTCTTCCCTTCACTTGCCTTCCTGGCTTTGGAAATGAGTGTTATGAAGCTGCGCAGAAATGGAGGAAGGAAGATAAATTCCTACAGGCCCCAGAAGTTTCCTATTAAATTTGCTTTAAGACATCCCATGTGGTTCTAATAGCTGCAGCCCTGCTCAGCAGTGCCCAGCATCAATACCACCACATGAAAGCAAAGCACATATCCCAGAACTGGCCAGCGAAATGCTGATACTGTGAAAAGACAACACCGAGCAAGTTTATCTTTTTCCTTCTCTTTGTCTCTTTTTTTTTTCCCTTTCTTTTCCTTTAATCACCCATCCTACCCATTCCCTTCTTAAAACAAAGTTACTTGGATAATGCAAAACAACTGCTGGGCTCACCCAAAGTCCGGCGCCTGAGGCTGAGACACTGGATGGTTCAGAGCATTTTAGATAAATGAGATAGAAAGTCCTTTGGGGCTCTTCTTTCATGACTTGCACAATATTTATACACTTTCTCCACAATGGTCTCAGGCAAGAAGCCATACAAATACATCCTGAAAACTCCTCTTCAAGCCATAATTCATCACACTTTCCTTCTGCAGGCTGCAGACAAAGCAAGGATACTCATCTTCACTCAGTCAACACAGGCATGATGACTGGAAATGCCTTGGCCATGCTCAGAGCTTTTGGGTGGGATATCTCAGCCCAGTTCTTCTACCTGCCTACCAGCACCATTCCTAAAGCACTTAGACACTCAGTAAGGCATTTGTGTGCTGCTGAATAGTCATGTTCTAAACAATCAGTGAAAAATAATATTTGCTCTCTATAATATCCATAGCTAAAACAGTGTGAGCACAGAAATTTCATTTTAATGTCAATATGATTAGCAAAAACGTACCTCCAAATAATTCTGGACTCCAACCCCTGACTGCTTAGCTGAGGTTTGCATGACCCCACTGCAGAGGAAAGCAGATACAGCAGTTACTGAGACGTTATCAAGACTGCATTTTCCACCCAGTGTCTTGACAGAGAACCCACCAGAAGTTACTTGGGGGCAATCATTGAACTGCTTGCTGCTGAGAGACCTTTTCATACAACTCACAGGGATGTGGCAGTGGGAGAACAGACAAGAAAACAGCTGCAAGAAATAAAAATCATCATTTAAATGCTAGTCTGTGTACCAGCCCTTCAGATGGAGGCTGGTGGGCTGGGATGATGAAGCAATTTGCCCTGGATGAGAGTATGCAGGTAAAGCAGTTTCAAGCCCCATCTGAAATGCCGTTTGCAGGATCCTTTATTGTGGGCATGTGGATGTGAAAGCTGCAAAGACCCAATTAGTGCTGAGCTTCTTTCCCTGCTCCGGGAGTCACAGCCATTCACAAACAGTTCAGAAGTGCTGAGGGATGTCCTGAGGCCAAGCCTTGGCCCACTCGCAACCACGCTGAATAACTGAGGCCGGAGCCCACAAGGAAACAAACCGTACCCTGAAAAATAAGCATGGCTTTTGGCACATGACGGTGTTATTCTGCAGAACCCTCGTGTCCATAGGCGTATTGGGGCTGCACAAGTTCTCCCACAATCTCTTTGTCACGTAAACAAGCACAGCCACCTATGTGGGATGCTTAAGCCTGGGGAAAGCAGTGCGATGGAGCAGCTTGGCTCTGTCTCCAGCAATGCATCTGAGCCGCTCAGAACCCAGAGAGCCAATGCAGCAAATAACACCACCGGCTGTGCTGCCGTCACCAGCCTGCCCTTCTCTCTGTTCTTTCCTGCCTTTTACCCGATTTCCGTGCTTCCTGTCCTACCCAACACCACAAAGCACAGCACACGACCTGTCCCTGCCCCAAACCCTCACACGCACCCATTTTTACCTATTTCCTCCATGCAACCTCCCCCGGACCTAACAGCGCAGGGCCGACCTCTAACCGCACCTACCTATATTTAGTGCCCCAGTACTGAAAGAACACTAAGTATCGGGTTTGGGGAGAAACCATCTTTGCTGCGCTACGGGCTCGGAGGCGGAGCGGGGCCGGCTTCCCCTCAGCGGCCCTCCCAGCACCGCCCGCTTCCGCTGCGCGGCCATGGCTGCGCCGTGCGTGAAGGGCCGAAGGCGAGGGGCTGCCGCAGCCGAATCCGAGCTCCGTGGATTTCAGCTTTGGAAGGGAAGGCGACTCGCAGTCCCTGCTGTAACACCGCCGTGTCGTCGTCGGTGCTGGAGGAGCAAAGGGAAACGCGTTGATTTGATGGAAGCAGGTGGAACAGAAGCCAGCAGAGGTCACCTTGCCCATTCTGCACTGATGGGCTGAGCTGAGCCTTCCGTGTCCCTCAGAACCCTCTACCATTTTAATGTTCAATCGTGTCAGGCTGCTACATGCACACCATCCTTCCAAAGCACAGCAGACAAGTGAATCACAGAATGAGAGAATGCCCAGGGTTGGAACCCCTGCCCTCTGCAAACCCCCTGCCACACGCAGGGCCACCAACCTCCACATTTAACACCAGCCCAGGCTGCCCAGGGCCCCATCCAACCTGGCCTTGAACACCTCCAGGGATGGACGGGGCATCCACAGCCTCTCTGGGCAGCTGTTCCAGCACCTTGCCACTTTCACAGCAAAGAACTTCCCCCTGATATCCAACCTAAATCTTCCCTCCCTCAGCTTAAAACCATTTCCCCTTGTCCTGCTATTATCTACCCTTTCAAAGAGTTGACTCTTCTGCTTATAGGCTCCCTTTAGGTACTGAAAGGTTGCAAATGGAGCAGGGCTGAGTCCTCAGACAGAGCCAGAGCCTGGCCCGGAGGCAGATCATAGCAGCAGTCAGTGTGGACGTGGCATGGAGCATCTTCCTCCCCCTGGGTTTGTCCTGGATCTGTCCGTGGCTGAAGTGATGCCTTGATACGCTGTGACATTGAGGCACCCCTGACCCTGGTGTTGCTGTGAGCTGTGGGTTTAGTTCAGGTCCTTGTTAAACAGAATGCATTTGGGTTAGAGATTTACATCAGGGCACTTCTCAGTCTTAAATTCAGCGATTGGTGTGGTCTGTGCAGTTCTGCCTGTGGTGAGTGATGGGTGGAGGATCCAAACGAAGCTCGCTGTAATTAGTCTCATTTATCTGTGCCACATCACACTGCTGTGTCCGGTAGCAAATGTGATCTGTTCCCATGGTCCTGCAGGCCCAGATGTCCTTCCTTGAGTGATTACATTGGCTTCAGTGGAGTTACTGCAGATTTACTGCATGGCTGATGGCAGCAGCAAATCCACTGTGTACGGAAAATTAAAAACTAGATTAAGCAGTAACAGGATTGATGCCAATCCTTTTGACACTAATGGCAGGGAATTGCTGCGTGCCTCCTCTACAGGTCGATTTTTTTTTTTTTTCTCAGCTGTGGCCATAACCCCGTGGCAACCCGAAGGTTGGGCTGTGCTTCCAGCGGCTGAATTAATGCAGAGACCTGAGGGGACGGTCAGGATCTGAATCATAGAATCACAGGATGGCTGGGGTTGGAAGAGGCCTTAAAGCCCACAATCCCAACCCCTGCTGTGGGCCGGATGCTGGATGGACTCCATCCAGCCTGGGCTTGGGCATCACCAGAGATGAGGCACTACGCCGCTCTGGGCAGCAGTACCAGGGCCTCACTGCTCTCTCTGTAAACAATTTCTTCCTAACATCCAACCTCAATCTTTCCTCTTTCAGTTTAAAGCCATTCCTTATCTCTATCAAACCAGGCACCCAGGTGCTTTATCAAGCTCCCGTCGACTAACTAGAAGGCTCAGTGAGGTCTCAAAGCCTTGTGCGGGAAAACCGGGGGCACTCTCCTTCTATAATAACTGGGAGCATCTGCAGTTGAGCTCCCCGCCCCGTGCCTCCAGCCGGTCCCTGCCCTGCCCTGCCCGCCGGGCGGTGGTGGGGGCGGGCGCAGCGCCGTGCCGTGCCGTGCCGCGCCTCGCTGCGCCGCCGCCGGGCGCTGCGCTTCCTCCGCTGAGCTCCGAACCGCGAGGATGACGGTGGAGTTTGAGGAGTGCATCAAGGATTCGCCCCGGTTCCGGTAAGCGCCGAGACCCTCGCTCTGATGACAATAATAGTAATAATAATAATAACAAGCGGAAGGGCTGCGTGGATAGGGGGAGAGGTGGGAAGCAGCTACCGGCCCCGTGCGGTGGGGATGCGGTGCCGGCAGCCCGCTCGGGACGTTCGGCTCAAGGCTCATCCCAACCCGCTCCATAGCGCGGGGGAACCGGCATCGTCTCCCGGAGCTGCTGGATATGCTGCCACCGCTCCCGAAGCCCGTGCTCAGAAACACGGCGTTTTCCACTCGCTGGCATCGCCGTCTCTCGGAGGGTGGATTCTTTTTTTATTTAGCAGTCTTGAAGGAATCCGAGCTCTGATAACAAAGACTCCGTCGTGGCTGTGCTGCTGTTGAAATCGGGCCTGTGAGCGCTGCTCGGGGCTGGTGAGGAGTCCCTGAGCCCGGTGCGGATGCTCGTTGTGCCTGCAGCACCACGGCTGGGTGTCTGGGTGCTGTGGGATGTCCTGGTGCTCGAATGGAAAGATTGGAGCTTCCACAGCTGGCGATCGCCTGCTGCATTCACACTGTGCTTGGATGGGGACAGAAGGAAGCAGACAATAGCCTGCAGGAGCAAGTTGGTTGGAAATACGTGCAGGGGGACGGTTACCAAGGGGCTCTCCATCCCAGCAGGCATTTCTCATTGCTCCTCAAACGTTTTTGTTTATTAAATGGGATACTTTGCATTTTCCCCCACGTGTGTTTGGAAAGATTTTCTCAGAATAGAAGCTTGGTACAAAAGGCTGCAGTGGTCTGCTGTTGTGGCTGCTCTGAACGGTTGTCATGCTGTGTATGCATTCATGTGGCTGCGTACGGCTGCAGGTAACATAAAAACTCCAGGCAAGTGCACCCTGTGGGTGCTGCAGCCCAGGTCTGGGGATCCCCAGGGCTGTGGGGAGGGTCCTCCTCCACACCTTGCAGCTGTAATTGCACGGTGAGATCCTGCTCTTACTTGTTTCAGGGCTGTTTCTGGCTTGGCATGGGCAGCACCCCGTGAGACGATGGGCTGCTCCTGTTTGCGTGCCTGGAATCACAGGAGTTTTTTATCAGGAAAAGTTAGATATGCAGGCAGGCGGGCAGAAGGTACGAACCAAAGTCCTTAAACCTCTGCTCACTCAGTATCAATTAGAATTTATTCTTTTTTTTTTTTTTTTTTTTAACTGTCATTTTATCCTGTGGTGCTGCCGAGCATGTGAACTGCTTGGTGGCATCCGTCCAGAGCAGTGACCTCACTGTCCAGATGTCTCCTTCCACATGGCAGTGACCCTTTTTCCCTTGGTGACGTCAAGATTGATGGAGATGTTTATTTATTTATTTTGCCTTTGGTGTGCGTGGGCTCCGGGCCAAGTTTCTTAGTATGCAGGCAGCATCATTCTGCTCTGTCTGCTCCATCTGTAAAAACAAAACAGCCCTCAGAGTACTGTGCTGGACCTTTATCAAAAGCCAGTTATTTAAGCAGGGAATTATGAACTATTTCCCCAATGGCTAGACGCAGTCTAGAGCAAGAGATTGGGTGAGAGAAGTGAGCCTGGATGATTCAGGAGGGCCGATATGTATTAATGTAAGGGGAATTTGTGACAAAGTACTGACATCTGCAGGGTTGTGGTGAAACCAAAACTGAATGCTGTGTCATAAGTTCAACGGTGAGCCCTGGAGAGAATCAAATCGTTTTCTGTCTGATATACAGAGGGAGAAAAACCAAAACCAATTGCATGAAGGCACACTGTATCAGGCATCCCATAATAAGGCAACCAAACTAGTCTACTTGAGCAATCAAACCCAATTACATGCCAAAGCACCCCGAATCAATACTCAATATGCAGTCAATCCGTCCTTGCTTCCTATTTCATAGGGCACAGTTGCTGACCCTTTTTCCCCTCCTTTTGATTTTCGTTACTTAAATGCATTCAGATCTCTTGACTGGCAGATAAACCTTATTTCTGTTGGGCATCTTGTAGAGACACGTATCTTCTGCCTCAGTAAACAAATGCTAATTACCTTGTAAGACCAGTTTTAGCACATTTGAATGCAACCCCAGTGGATGTTGTGGCTTTCATCTCCCTGCCTGCCATGGGAGCCTCCTGTTGGGCCAGCAGCAGCCTGGGAAATCTAGGAACACATTTCTGCTGGTCCTACTCAGAGATCCAGGTGCACTTGGCACCAAGGGACAGATGGGGACATCATCAACTATCCTGAGTGTGAGGAGCAATCAGGAGGACAAGGGCAGAGGAGGAACAAGTTGCTGGGGCTGGTTGCAGAACTTTGTGAGCCATAGAAAACCCCAAATGCCTCTGTGGTAAATCCCACGAGGGAGGGAAATAAATGGTTATTTCCTTAACTAGCACTGCTGTTGCTCTTAACTAACTTCGTTAATCAGGCTGTGAGCTCAGGGTTCCCAGCAGGCTGAGCCACCTCTGATGCTTGTAGCTCTCATGGCCAGGGAAACTCAGGCATGGAACTGCAGCTCCAAGAGAGATGCAAGAAAGCAGTTGTCATCTGCCAGAGGAAGAGGACGTGAAAAGACAAGGACGTTCAGGAAGTGTTTTCTCCCTCAACAGTAAAGTGTTTCAAACAGAATGGGAAGGAATAAAAACACTCAACTCCAACTGATCTTGCTAAGTCTGGTAACAGATTGAATCGGACAAGTTCAAAGCGTGCATAACAACTTCAGATGAGTCCATGCTGCTTGATCATGTGTTAGAGAGAAAGATCTTCAGTGCCTTGTGTGACTTTTGGCTATTGTCACCCAGCTCTGCACACTGCTGCCATGCAGCCTGATGTAAGCCAAACTTATTAGCTGAAGTTACTTGAAAGCAAAAGTAAATTATACCCAGAATGGCAAAAGCAAAACTCTTCATTTGTTTAACTAAATCCATTTAACAAAAAGAGCATATGCATTGATTTGAAGCTTACACAAGGCTTCTTATGTAAGCAAGATCCTTGCTACTGATGGTGGTTGCAGGAA